GTTTGGTTGTTTTCACCTCGTGGCTATTGTGGATAGTGCTGCTCTGAACACTCAGGTACAAGGATTTGCCTGACTCTGTTTTCATTGCTCTTGCAGTGGAACCTAAGAGAACCGCTGTACCGTATGGTAACTCTGGGTTTAACTTACCGAGGAACCACCAAACTGTTTTCCACAGCAGCTCCCCCATTTTACATGCCTACCAGCAGTGAATGAGGGTTTCAGTTTCTTCACATCCTCACCAACACTTTTTTATTTTTTTTTTGAGGTAGAGTCTTGCTCTGTCACCCAGGCTGGAGCACAGTGGTACAATCTCAGCTGACTGCAACCTCCGCCACCCGGGTTCAAGCAGTTCTCCTGCCTCATCCTCCCAAGTAGCTGGAATGATAGGCATGCATCACCATGTCCATATAAATTTTTGGTTTGTTTGTTTGTTTTGTTTTTGAGACTGAGTCTCGCTGTTGTCAGCCTGGGCTAGAGTGCAATGGCTCAATCTCAGCTCACTGCAACCTCCGCCTCCGGGGTTCCAGCAATTCTCCTTCCCCAGCCTCCCAAGTAGCTGAGATTACAGGTACCCACCACCATGCCCAGCTAATTTTTGTATTTTTAGTAGAAATGGGATTTCACTATCCCATGTTGGCCAGGCTGGTCTCGAACTCCTGACCTCAGGTGATCCACCTGCCTCAGCCTCACAAAGTGCTGGGATTACAGGCGTGAGCCATGGTGCCCGGCCAATTTTTAGATTTTTGGTAGAGACAGGGTTTCACCATGTTGGCCAGGTTGGTCTCGAACACCTGCCTCGGCCTCCCAAAGTGCTGGGATTATAGGCATGAACCACCGCACCTGGCCAGCACCAACACTTATTTTTTATATTTTTGTTTTGCTGGGTTTTTTTCTGAGAGACAAGGTCTCGCTCTGTTGCTCAGGCTGGAGTTCAGTGGCACAAGTATAGCTCACTGCAGCCTCTGCCTTCTGGGCTTAAGCAGTCTTCCCGCCTCAGCCTCCCACGTAGCCGGGAGTAGAGGCACGTGGCACTGTGCCTGGCTTCAGATGTTTTTTTTGTTTTGTTTTGTTTTGTTTTAATGTGTGACTATGTCCTGTCACACAGCTCTGCCGAGGTCCTGAGAATATGTGCCCCTACCTCCCTCACCCCCACTTTTTTTTATATGAAAGCTTCAGTATTTTTGAGCCTAGCTCTCCTAGTGGGTGTGAAGTGGTATCACACTGTGGCTTTGGTTTGTTTCCCTAATGATGGCCTCTTTTCATGTGCTTACTGGCCCTTCATGCATCTTCCTAGGGAACTGCCTATTCAGATCTTTCACTCATTTTTTAATTAGGTTATTTGTCCTTTTATTGTTGATCTGTAAGAGTTCTTTAGGCCAGGCACTGTGGCTCACGTCTGTAATCCTAGCACTTTGGGAGGCCAAGACAGATCACAAGGTCAGGAGTTCGGAAGGCAGATCACAAGGTCAGGAGTTCAAGACCACCCTGGCCAACATAGTGAAACACTGTCTCTACTAAAAATACAAAAATTAACTGGGCATGGTGGCGCTGCCTGTAATCCCAGCTACTTGGGAGGCTGAGGCAAGAGAATCACTTGAACCTGGGAGGCAGAGGTTGCAGTGAGCCAAGATCACGCCCCTGCACTCCAGCTTGGGCGACAGAGCGAGACTTTGTCTCAAAAAAAAAAAAAAGGTTCTTTATGTAACCTGGATATTAGATCCTAGTCAGATGTGTCATTGACAAATATTTTATCCTAATCCATTTGCTGTAATTGTGTGTATGTGTGCGCAGGTATGTAATAAATAGCTTTATGGCTGTTCCTTTTGTCAGGGCTACATATTAATTACAAAAGTAGAAAATTTAGAAAATTTACAAAGAAAACCAGTAAGAAGTAACTGTTGTTAAAGTGTAGAGTGCTATGCACCATCCCCTGTTTTAAGTACTCTACGAGGAATAATACCTTTTCTTTTGCTTTTGAGATGGGGTCTCGTTCTATTGCCCAGGCTGGAGTACAGTGGTGCCATCTGGCTCACCGCAACCTTCGCCTCCTGGGTTTAAGTGATTCTCCTGCCTCAGCCTGCCGAGTAGCTGGGACTACAGGTGCACGCCACCGTGCCTGGCTAATTTTTGTATTTTTAGTAGAGATGGGGTTTCCCCATGTTGGCCAGGCTGGTCTCGAACTCCTAACCTCAAGTGATCCATCCGCCCCAGCCTTCCAAAGGGCTGGGCTTACAGGCGTGGGCCACCACACCCAGCCTGTGGAATAATATCTAGTTAATTTTCACCAAATCCCTACGAGGCAGCAGCAATTTGAGCTGCATTTCACAGGTGAGGAGAACGAGGCAGGAAGAGGTGAAGCACCGTGCCTGGTGTCAGGTCGGGATCCAGTCTGTG